CATCAGCGTTTAGTGACGTCATTGAATGTTCCGGGAAAACTTAAGTTGTATTTTCAGTGTCGGTCACAGCGCCTTTTAATTGCTGTTTTGGATCCGGCAATTATTCATTTACAAATTAAGCACTGTTTAAAATGTAAATTTTTCGTGGCTAAATATTTACATCGCCCCTCAGACACCAGTGGACACAGAGGACGTTCAGCCCGCCCCAAACATAGATCACCTCCTCTCTAATATTGGTCGGACGGGCCCGCTTGGGGAGGCATCAGGTGAGAGTGCTTAACCAGTTACAACCAACAATATTCAGCTTAAATAACAGCCAGTTATAGTTGACAGTAGTCTCCTTTAGATGAGTTTTGGTTCGCAGTCATATTCCACCTCTGATGACTAACACTAGAATACACACTTTCATCTGCATGTGGATGGACAGGTCTGTCTGTTGAGCATGTGACAGAAGTAGACAGCAGTAGGTCCAACATGTTTCTGTATTCCTGCATGTTGAAGGTTCTTTACTTCTGAGTTTTGGTTTCTTTTTTTAAACAATCTCTTTCATTATATTCACGTTCTGCTGTCTTTCTCTGTACATTTCTGCATCCCTCTCTTAGCTGAGCCTGTGGAACAACCACTGCGGTAGGATGGGTTTCCCCTGCCATGCACTCTGTGTGTGTGTGTGTGTGTGTGTGTGTGTGTGTTTAATGGCTACAGTATATGCACAAGTGATGGAGGTGTTTATGGCCCCGTTTACATCTGCTGTTAACATCTGTGTTAATTCAAAGTGCTAAATAAAGCTGTCAACAGGATACTTATTTATCCTCTAATTCAAACAGAATAGCTCAGGTGTATCTAATATTTTGTAATTTTAGAGCATGATAACGTAGGTCTAAATTAAAAATAGCAACTTAATTTGTTATTTAAAGTGTTTCTTAAATGATTTTTTGGACATTTCTAGTTGAAATGTTATAGTTTACATTTCAGTTCTGACTAAATAAGTAGGTACTGCTTAGCATAGACCATATTCAGTATCGTTCAAACTGGGTCGGTAAGATTTTTTGAATGTTTTCGAACAAGGTTTCATATGGCTGCATTTAATGGATGAAAAATACAGTAAAATACCGTAAAAATATTAAGAGCTATTATTACAAAGATCTTTCAATAATCATTTCTATTTGAATATATTTTAAAATGCAAACTGTTTCAATTCCTGTGATGTTAAAGCTGAATTTTCAGCATCATTACTCCAGTCTTCAGTGTCACATGATCCTTCAGAAATCATTCTGATATGCTGATTTGCTGCTCAAGAAACATTTCTGATTATTATCAGTGCTGAAAACAATTTTTGCTGAGAACTGTTTTTTGCAGACTTTTTCATGCAAATGTAATTTTATGTCCTCTCCTTTAAAACATTTGAACGGTAGTGGTATGTAGGTCAATTTCATGTAAAATTATTTGTGCAAAATCTAAATATTGAAGAGTTAACGTAATTAACGTAACTTTTGAAAACAAAACGACGCCCAAGCCAGGTAAACGGGGCCTGTGTGTGGTGGCAAACTGTTTGTTTCGTCCTTCTCCCCCTCTGACAATTACTGTTTCTGCCCAGGCCTTCCCATAGCTTCTTTTGTGGGTCGATGTCATCAGTATGTGATGTGATGTCATCAGTGTGCGCTTTATCTGGGCTCCTTCATTTCTTCTTCTAAGACCCTGTTCACATTGGAACATTAACTGACAATCAGCGGCTGGTTGTTTATTACACAGATGCTGTTTATACTGGATCTTGTGTGAACACTGTCTCACAATCGCTGTTTATGGGGGTGATGCTCAATGATTGTCACAGAGGCTGCTCTAGGTCTTGTTTATTAATGTATTAAAGGGATAGTTCACCCAAAAATGAAAATTTGATGTTTATCTGCTTACCCCCAGGGCATCCAAGATGTAGGTGACTTTGTTTCTTCAGTAGAACACAAACTAAGATTTTGAACTCAAACCGTTGCAGTCTATCAGTCTTATAATGGAAGTGGATGGGAATCACGGCTTTGGGAGTAAAAAAAAACACTCAAACAAAACCAAATTAAACCCTGCGGCTCGTGACGATACATTGATGTGAAAAGACACAAAACGATCGGTCTATGCATGAAACTGAACAGTATTTATGTAGTTTTTTACCTCTGATTTTCACCGCAATGTCCGAACTGTCTGAACTCAGCGCGTCCTCCTGAGCGCGTGAGCGGAGGGAGAAGAGGATGAAGAAGAAGAGGAGGAAGATGAGGAAGAGGAGGAGGACTGTGAGAGACAGAATGCACAGGAGCAGAAGGAAGAAGTAATTCCCAGCATTTCCTCCACAGAGGAAGCGGCCCCAGCGGTGCTGCTGAACGAGGAGGAAGAGCAAAGGACTGAAGTGAAAGGTCGCAGCTGGCGAGGAGATGATGCACGGTCTATTGTGTCAGGCTACTCTACTCTGTCCACTCTGGGGCGGAGCTTAGCATCAGAGGGGCGGGGTGAAGATGCAGATGACGAGCATAGCGAACTGGTGAGTGAAACCGATAACGAAAGCGGATTCGCTTCGCGCTCCCTCACCCAAGAGAGGCCGGAAAAACCAAGCCGTTCAAGCCTGAACTCACACACCTCACCCGAACCAACCGCACCACGCAGTTTCCTCTATGCCCACTGCAAATCTCAGACGCCTCATGCTGCCTCTGGCTCCACCCTCGCTCCGCCTCCTCCTTCCCTCACAACCAGTCCTGAAGATAGCGCAGCATGTTCATCTACTCCCTCAACCTCCTCTTACTCATCATCCGCCTCCCAGCGCCTCCACAGCCGCCACTCTTTTAACTCCCACCGCCTCATACAGTGCGACACCCTCGCGCGGCGTCGGCTCAAGGCAGATAAATCCAAAGCGCCCTCAGTGGACCTTTCCGAACTGTCCAGCTCCTCCACCACGGAGGGAGAACGGCGGTCAGGTGCGAATCAAATCCCTGATTCCTCTTCGTCTCCTTCCCCCAAAGCCAAATCCTCCTCTAAAGGGGTTAACGTGCGAAACGAGTGCACGCCAACATCCGGTCTAGGAAGTAAGAGCTGCTCGTTGTCCACTGGGCAGGGTTCCCTGGCGGATCAGGTCCGGGCTCGTCTGATGGGCTCGGCGGATGATCTGCGCAGCGTCGGCCTGAGGAAGCAGCTCTCGCCGGAGACGCGCCGAAAGAGACGTGCGTGGAGGAGGCACACCGTGGTGGTCTCCCCTACGGAGTGTTCAGGCAAAAAACCACCGGCGCCGCCCCCCAAACCGCTAGCTTCACCCTCCCCTGTTGAAAAGCAGGACGTTGGAGAGTCCCACCCAGAGTGCTCAGAGACTGAAGCCCCTACTGCACGGCGGGCCCTGCCTACCTCGCGCTTTCATGATTTCTTGTAGCAGTGATGGTGTGTACAGGCTAGTGAACCAAGAGAGCTGGATTTGGGTTGTGTTGTAGCTGCGTCCTCAGTCTATTCACACTGCTCACACTGACAGCGATTACGTGGTTGCCAAGTACTGTTGAGCACTAGGCGTTCATACTCACTGTAGTCAAAGACTATAGAATAACCGAGACGTGTCACTCGTGTAGTTTTGAATGGGGAAAAATGCAACGCTCAATATGGCCGCTCTATCGAACGAAGTCCCGCCTTCTGAGTAAAAGAGCCCATCGCAAATCGGTAAAGTCAGCGTGTCACTGCAGCTGCCGTTAGAAGTCCCGTTTGCTATAGAAACAGTCAGCGTTCTGAGACGTGCTCTTAGGACTGCGCATGCGCACTGGCCGGTCTAGTCTGAAAAATAAGCTTTTTTTAAATACACAAATAAACAACATATATGATACAGTTGTTGTCAGATTTCATTGGTGATTTCAGATATGAAATTTAATCGTAAGCTTAGCGAAGAGTTTTTGAGAATTTGATGTTTCCCCATTCAAAGATATAGGAGCTGCACTTGTGTGCCCGAGAGCCATTTCAAAGATGGCCTCCAAGTGACATGACTTGCCTTAAAGGGACTTTGCTGTAGTGTCCAACTGTGTCTAGTAGCGGGTGATGTGAGCACCATTGTGCACCATTCAGAATTGGATTGAGAATTATTTTAAATTCTAGTTCAGTTTTGGAATTTGAACAGAATTTAAATTGAGGTAGCACATTTTTAAAATTGAATTTACTTAAGTGGAATTAAAATGAACTGAAATTCAAATAAAACTGCAACATGGGCATTTTCATACCTGTAGAGTGTTTGCTTTGTTCCGGAACAGGGATTTAAATTGTTATAATAGCCCCTTTCACACATGCAGACTTTACTGGTAAATTACTGGTAGGTCACCATTAAGAAATCATGTGTGAACAGGATATTTTCAAAAATACGTATGAGAAGTTTTACCAGTAAATTGCCGCAATGATGCTATGCGTGAACGCAGAATGAAGATTATCGGTATGAGCATGTACGAGTTCAGAATGCGCTGATGTAAGACATCTACTCCGGGCCAATCCAGAGCCTCTTAAATTCCACAAAAAAATTCAACGGCTCTGGGCCAATCATAACATTCTGATGCAGATGATGCATTTACTCCACACTGTGTAGTTCGATTTGAAGTCATGTAATGCAATGTCTCTGGGCCAAAAGCGCTGCATGAATGTGAACGTTTGACACAAAAATGAAAACATCAATGTACCGGTGCAGTATTGGTTAAACAGTGTTATCAAACAGGAACAGTGTTGATAGTGACAGTTTTACTAGTTTTAACATAGGCCATTGAGCTTAGAGCAGGTGCATAATTCAACCTAACTCACTACATTAAGATCCATAAGAGGCAGTGTGGTGTGTTCACCTTCCCACTTGTTCATCTACTTGTAACGGCTCATTGGTGAAATCACTTCATATGAGTGTGTATGTGTGTCTGAAATTGCCTGTGTATACATTATGTGGTCGAGTATGTGTGTCAAACAATTTTGTAACATTTGTACAAAGCCTTGCTTAAGTTAACCATGTAAATAAACATATTATCTTTTTTTCCCCCTTTGTTTTAGTTTATATATGGTTTACAAAGTGCACTTATGTGCACAGTCATTTCTTTCCAGATGTTACTTGAAATGTTTTTCCTTAATATTTTTTGTTTGTTTGTTTGTTTGTTTTATACACAGTGTATATTATACATATATTTTGTATGAATATAATAAGTACTTTTATTTGGAAATCTTGGGGTGTACCTGTTTTAACTCCACTAGACTGTTTTCCCTGTTAATGGCCTTTCTCTGTGACTTACAAATACTATGCAGAAATCTATTCACCTCAATGCAAAGAACAGAGATCTAACCTGCAAAGAGTGTCTGTCACAAGCTATAATAAATTCTTATTGCAGAGCATATTTCATTCGGGTTTTGTGCTTTTGTCTTGTGCTGCAGGCATTTTAGCACAGAGCAAGATTTCCGAGAAAAGGTATAGGAGAAATGCCACTGTTTCGGCCTCTACTGAGGTATATATATATGTGTGTGTGTGTGTGTGTGTGTGTGTGAATATACACACACACACACAGTTTTGTATATTCCTATATTTCGGGGGACAAAGTTGTAACCCGAAGTGAACTAAACCTGACATCTTTTTGGGCCCATTATAAGAATGGGATACAGTAAAAATAGTTTTTTCCCCAAATGTAAAGATGCAGAAAGTGTTCTGTTAGTGTGTGGGTTAAGTTATAGTACTTATAACAAACTCTATATAAAAACAACTAAGTGAATGGAATGTCCCCATTTAGATAAGTAAATAACTGTGTGCGTGCGCGTGCATGTTTACAGCATTATAGAGGGACCTGAAAAACCTGTATACAAGTCAA